TGAATATACAAAAGCTTGTTTGGTCTGTTTTCCTTTTAGAACAAACTGTTACCCACAGTCTAAAAGTCATCTTTAAATCACAGTTCCCACTTCACAGCTCCAAACCAAACTTTATTAAGGAACTAAGTAAAAATAATGAAAAATCAGTGAGGGTTTTAACACTGGATAAAAAGGGCAAAAGATACAGCCTACTTTAAGGAAAAGTAAATAAATACAACCTTCCTAGTTCACGCAGAGAAATAATCCGTATAGTTAATCTTATACCTAGGATTATCAAATTTAGAATAAATCTCTTATAAAAATGCAAAGAATATGGATAGCAAATCATTGCGGTTTATTTCATATATACTATAAAATAAATATTGTAATGAACCGAGGTGCCAACTTTGCTTGTCTTTTATGTTTTTGCATTAAATAATTGGAGGTCTTGAGGTGCAGTTCGTGGTGTCCCTGTCTTCGAGCCCAAAGCTTTGGATACGTGTCCAACCCAGGTCTTTATGGCCCAGGGACGTGCATTTATAACACGTCCAAACAGGCAGAAAATAAAGCTGCAAATAATTTCAATACATAACAATTGCAGGCAGGTACGAACAGGAGAGATTCCTGCTCACCCTTGTGATGGAAAGAATGTTGGAGTTTCCGCTATCACGTTCCACTGCGCTAGACTTCAGCACGCATGCAAAAGCGTATGTTGTCACGACAAGTCAGATTCCTCGAGTGGACCGTAACACAACCAAATAATTTGAAGAATTATATTTCCTTAGGACTTCAGATATCTGTTTGGATTATTGCTAAGCATCTGGACTTCCTACCACTCTGAGGATCATTTTGAAAGATAAAGGATTCCATGTCAAATCTAAATCAACATTAGTCCTTCCTGTCTGTTACAGAATTGTAGAATGTTACAACACTGAAAGCCATTCAGCTCTTTGTTTTCATGCCAGCTCTCTGTAAGAGCAAATAATGTAGTTCCGCTCCTCACCCTTCATATCCCTGCAGATCTTTTCTCCAGATAATTAGTCAGTTCGCTTTTCATACTCATGTTTGAATTTTCCTTCACCATACATTCAGGGACTGCATTCCAGATCCTCACTACTCACTGTGTAAAAACATTTAGAATCATGGAATCCCTACAGTGTGGAAGCAGGCCATTCAGCCCATCAAGTCCACACATCCTTTGAAGAGCAGCCCAACCAGACTCACCCTGCTACCCTACACCTGTAACCCTGCATTTCCCATGGCTAATCCACCTAGCCTGTACATCCCTGGACACTATGGGTAATTTAGCATGGCCAATCCATCTGACTTGCACACTTCTGGACTGTGGGAGGAAACCCACGCAGACACGGGGAGAATGTGCAAACTCCACACTGTTGCCCGAGGGTGGAATCAAACCGGATCCCTAGCACTGTGAGGCAGCTAACCACTGAGCCACTGTGCTGCCCAATCTTTCTTCATTTTACTGACAGTTCTTGTGTCATTCACCCTAAATCAGTGTCTCCTGTTTCCTTCCAACAATATGAACAGTTTCTTTCTCTTAAGTCTGTCCAGACCTCCTCATGATTTTGAACATTTCAATCAAGTATCATTCCAACCTGCTCTTCTCTAAGAATAGTCATAGATTCTCCAATTCTGTAATTTAAGTCCATCATCCCTGGAACTTTTCTTGTGAATCTTTTCATCACCTTATCTAATGCTTTCACATACTTCCAAAGGTGTGGTACTTAGAATTGAATGGAAACACCATTTAATATCAAACCAATGTTTTGTAAAGAGTTAGCATAACTTCCTCGCTTTTGTACTCTATGTCTCTATTTACATAGCGCTGGGTCTCCCGTGCTTAACCAGTTTTCTCAATCTGCCCTGCCACCTTCAATGTTTTATGCACATTTAACACCAAGTCCCTCTGCTTCTTCGAGACAACAAGGTGCAGGGCTGGATGAACACAGCAGGCCAAGCAGCATCATAGGAACCTCAAGGGATCTCCCTCTGCTTCTTCACCTCTTTTTGAATTATATCTTTTTTTATATTGTCTCTCCTTGTTCTCCTTACCAAAATGTCCAGGCCATTAATATCAATCAAGTGCAGCAGTACTCCAGTAAGAGAGAGTAGTGAATACCTTCTGCCAGTCTAAAAAACAGCCATTAACCATTATGCTAGGAGATAGCCAGAACTGCAGATGCTGGAAGTCAGTGGCAATACAGTGTGGAACTAGAGGAACACAGCATATCAGGCAGCATCAGAAAAGCAGGAACGTCAACGTTTTGGGTCGGGATCCTTCATCAGGACTGCTGTGCTCCTCCAGCTCCACACTGTTAACCATTATGCTGTTTCCTGTTACTCAGCCAAACTTGTATGATGCTTTTGTTGTTTTTGGAGGAATGGAGGGTGTCATGTGACCTGTTCTGAATTCTACCTGACACTCAGGCTTGGTTACTACAGGTACAAGTGGGACCCACATCAAGAGGCTTGGTGAGAAGGCGCAAGATGTTCACAACTATGGGCAACATTAACAGCATTTGTGCTGACTGCAGGTAGATTCTCTTCAAGTCTCACGGGGAGGTGTCAGGCTTTGTGAATAGTTATATTTTAAACTATCTGTTTAATTCTGAGATAAAATGGAGTTAGGTGTTGAGACGAAAGCTAATTCGCATTTCTCCCCAGATACAAGGCTCATTGTGATTCACATTTCCATGTGAATGGGTTATAGGAAAGAAAAGGTGGTAATGGGTTGCAAATTTTCCTATGATATCCCTAAACCTCTCAGTGACAAGTTAGTGCACAAGAATCTAAGAAGACAGGGAGAGAGAGAGACAGACAGAATATAAAGAGGCAGCTTGTCTACCTTTGAAGCAGAGAAGTTATTGATTTTATTATTCATCATGCACAACTAGAGCTCATACTCAGATTGAGGACACTGAATTCAAAGGAATTTAAAGAAGGCTGGAATTTTGTCTTAGACAACAAGGTGCAGGGCTGGATGAACACAGCAGGCCAAGCAGCATCATAGGAGCAGAGAGGCTGACGTTTCGGGCCTCGACCCTTCATCAGAAAAGGGGGAGGGGAAGGGGGTTTTGAAATAAATAGGGAGAGAGTGGGAGGCGGATAGAAGAGGGATAGAGGAGAGGATAGGTGGAGAGGAAACAAACAGGTCGAAGAGGCGGGGATGGGGCCAGGAAAGGTGAGTGTAGGTAGGGAGTTAGTCTTGCTTGGGTTGGAGAGTATATCTCAAGTAGAAAAATAAAGTTGCATCCGACTAATAGGAACGGTAAGTAACACGAGACTCATTAAGACTGTAAATCCCAGTTGACCCCCATCAGATTCTCCCCCAGTAAGTGCGAGTAGCATTCCAATTCATTGCTGCCAATTGGATTCACATGTCACTGATACCTGTCCATTAGGCTGGTATTACTAGCCCATATTGGAATCGGAGGAGCAGGCTTTTACTTTGTTCCTTGTACCTTTTTGATTTTAATTTAATTGTTTCCCCAGTTTGATTTTCAGCTTTACAGGCCTTGTTGACATTCATACGGATTTTAAACTTTACCAGTCAATTTGGACATACAGCACAAGCTTAAATGGGACAGAAGTGAATTAAAGACACAATTCATGTAGACTTTTTTACACATATTAAGAAACGAAAAATATTGAAGTAAATGTACATTAAAATGACGGAAACAGAAGCAATTGTTATCTGTTATGTAGACACATCTTTGTGTTACAAAAACAAAGTTGCTGGAAAAGCTCAGCAGAACTGGCAGCATCTGTGAAGGAAAAAACAGAGTTAATGTTTTGGGTCTGGTGACCCTTCCTCCTACCCTCTGAGGAAAAAACAGAGTTAACATTTTGGGTCTGGTGACCCTTCCTCAGACCGTCTGAGGAAGGGTCAGCGGACCCGAAACATTAACTCTGTTTTATCCTTCACAGATGCTGCCAGACCTGCTGAGCTTTTCCAGCAACTTTGTTTTTGTTCCTGATTTACAGCATTTGCAGTTCTTTCGTTTTTTTACATTTTTGTGTTATCATGCTTTTGAGTATCTTCAATTAGCATACATGTCTTACGCAATTATACAGGGCCTTGGTGAGACCCCACCTAGAGTATTTTGTGCAGTTTTGATCTCCGTATCTGAGGAAAGATGTTCTGACTATGTAGGGAGTGCAACAAAGATTTATAACATTGATTTTTGAGATGGCAAAACTGACAATATGAAGAGAGATTCGATTAACTAGGACTATATTCACTGGAGTTTAGAAAAATGAGGGAGAATCTCATGGAAAACTATAAAATTCTAATGGGACTAGATACGGTAAATACAGGAAGGACACTTTCATTGACCAGGGAGACCAGAACCAGGGATCACAGATAAAGACATGAGTTAGGCCATATAGGACTGAGATGAGTAGAAATTTCTTCATCCAGACAGTGGTGAACCTGTGGAAGTTTCTGTCACAGAAAGTGGTTACAGTCTTAGAGCTGTACAGCATGGAATCAGACCCTTCAGTCCAACTCGTCCGTGCCGACTAGATATCCTAAATTAATCTAGTCCCATTTGCTAGCATATGGCCCATATCCCTCTAAAACCTTCCTGATCATATACCTATCCAGATTGAGGCTAAAACATTAAATGTTTTCAAGGACTTACATATATTTTTTAGGGCTAAAGGGTTCGAGGGGTACATAGAGAAAGCAGGAACAGGGTACTGAGTTGGATGATCAGCCACGATCATATTGAAAGGCGAAGCAGACTCAAAGGGATGAATGGCCTACTCCTCCTATTTTCTATGTATCTTTATAACTCAACAATACCTGAAATATCTCCTCTACATAGGCAACATATTGGTGAATTATAGATTTATTTGCCATTTCTTGGTTTTTACTAGGGATTATTCTTTGACTTTCTCCTAAATAACCTAAATGTTATTTTCACCAACCACCTATTCACACAATTCTCTTTGTGCCATGGTTTAAACAAAACTAAGGGTCTATCTGTTGCACAGACTATATTCAGTCAAGTAAGTTGAAGCTTCCCAGTATCCCTTTGTAGATATTTTCTGAACCAACCTGTTCAGAGATGTTATTACTCACAGGTGGGGCTTGAACCCAGGCATCCTGGTCCAAAGATTAGGGCATTACCGCTGTACCACAACAGCCCTTGAAAGCAGCAGTTATTTTAACATGTCTTTTAAAGCAGAAATCCTGAAACGCTTGTGGCGAAAGTTCACTTCTAATGAAGGCTGGGATTCAGTTGTCCAGTCTTGGTCATTCTATTGTCTGTTTCTCTCTATTACCAAGTTTGAAATGGTCTTCCTGAACCCCCCCACCGTTCTTGTGCATGAATGAGGTGTCCAACACCAGGCACCAGACCACTATCCCACAGTATCCCTTTGTAGATATTTCCAATCAATCTGTTAAGAGATGTTATTACACACCTCCGGAACAGGTGGAACTTGAAATCAGGTCTCCTACTTAAGAGGTGGGTACATACCACTGTATCAGAAGTGCTCCTATTTTTTGAAAATGCCTTCACAATTACCTTTATTAAATTGATCTGCAAGGATTAGTGCTGGGGCCTCTGTTATTGTAATATATATAAATGATTTGGATTAAAATGTAGGTTGTCTGATTAAGTAAGTTTGCAGACAACATGAAAACTGGTGGCATTGTGAATAGTGAGGAATGTTATCAAAGGATACAGCAGGATATAGACAGTGGAAAGTTGCTCAGAGAAATGGCAGACAGTGTTTAATCAGGACAAGTGTGAGGTGATGCATTTAAGAGGCATTTAGACAGACACGAACAGGGAGAGAATACAGGGATATGGACCATGTGTAGGCAGGTGGGATTAGTTTAGAATGAGATCATGGTCAGCACAGACGTGGTGAACAAAAGGGTCTGTTTCTGTGGTGTTCAGTGTACTAAGGGGAAAAATACAGCAGTAAAACAAAAGGCTGCAATATGACAAAGGATATTAATTCTTGTTTTTCACTTTAAATTTGGCCTTTTCCTCAAAACGAAACTTCATTCCTTATAGTTTCATGCTTTTTGTACTTTTTTTTAGAGCTTCCTTCTATTTCCTCCTCTGCATGCTTTACTTTTTCCTCTATTATTCTCATACCTCCTCTTCACTCCCATTCTTTCAAATTTCTTCTCTCTCTGGCTGACTGTGTAAGGGACTCATCCCAGACTAAAGCCGCCCCCAACTCCTCCTGTGACCTGCCATGTCTAACCCTTGCCACTCCGCTTATCTACGGGGGAGTCTCGGCTCCTTCGCCGCCGACATGAAGAGAATGATCAACGCGCCGGAGATGAGGTGAGAGCAGCCACGGAAGGCAGGACACTCCGGGGATTGGAGGAGGGCGATAGGCCTCACACGGACAGTCCTAATTTATAATTTGAAAAACAAGAATATATTATGGATAACCGGAGGAGAATCTGTTTAAAAGTGCCATGAGATGCTTTATTTCGGTGTAGAATCAGTGCGGGGAATAGCTTCCTTTTAAAAACAGAAATACATATTATAAAACTCGTTTCAATTATAAATAACCTTAAAATAAAAGCTTGTTTTTCTACACGCACACACTTCAAAAGTAGTTTCATTGGCCGGTTCTGCTCGTTGGGACATTCCTGGAATCGAGAAAGATTCTAACTTGTAACTTTTAATTGATACTTTGTGAATAGCCAAACATGCAATACTGCTGTGTCTTGATTGAATAATTTTGCTGTTTTGGAGTTTAGTTCCTGCAGAAAACTTCATTCCAGATTCAGCTGCAAATTCTCACTTTTTGGTGGGTACGTGCACATTGAGAGGGTGATCAATGTCTGGTTTTTGAGTCTGGAAATTTCTAAAAATGAAAACCAGTGGGGAGTCAGATGGTGTAATGAAGAATACCCAAAATTCAACAGTTTCTAAAGTTTCATCAAATACGCTTCGGTTTTAGCCAAAGTCTGAACGGTAGACAGGTGCTTTTTACTTAACTTACTAATTTCTAGAAGTGCTATGTGAATCATGATTTAAATAATGTAGTTTTGCATTTTTAAAAAAAAACCCAAAGGAAGTTTTTTGAGCAGATCGGAACAATAACAAATTACTGTCCCAAAAAAATCTTAGCTTAACCTATTTAATAAATAAGATAATAGCTGTAGTGTTCAAGTTGCTGATTTTTTTTTTCATTATATTTCAAAAATGTGCTTCAATTCTAAATGATCTATCAGAAAATACAGGTCCAAAACAGATTTCGCAAAAACATTGAAGTTCTAATGAGGAATGTCAAAATTCAATCATGTTGCAACAAAAAATGGCATTTTCTAAACATGAAAGGAAATCATTTACATTCCCATGAAAGCTGCAAGGGTATCCTGAAGCCCCCAAGTTGCTAATACATGATGATGCCACTTTGAATGATTAATGATTGTGGTGGAATCACTGCAGGATTTTCAAAGGAACAACAGCTGATTATCATTAAACCAGGTGCAGTGTATACTATAATGCAGGGGTGTGGAATATGTATCTTGTTGAGGGCCTGTGATTAATGGATGAAATTAATTGAGGGCCGCAGACACAAAAGCCCCAGTTTAATTTAGTTTTTAAGAGAGTAAAGTGAAATGTTCAACTCACCAGTGTTTTACACCGATGGCTGAGATTGCTTTGCCTCAGTAAGCCTTCCTATGTCTGCTGGCAGTGGAGATGTTGCTATTTGTAACTGTTGCTCCAAAATTTCATCCATTAGTCTGGAATGCAAGCTGCTCTTTGCCAGAGAAAGCTCTGAAAATAACTCCTCACTGCTTCCCTCAGTTTCCTGTCACTTGGTCAATTCTTGTATGCATGCTTTTACAGTCCCCTTTATTCCATGAGTTGTAACTTTCCTTACAAGTCTCTTGGCTAAAACTGTATCGAATGCTTTGGAAGTCCATGTAAATCATACTGATAGCATTGCCTTTATTGATCCTGTCTGTTAAATCCTCCTCAAAATTGAACATTCTGACAGAAAATAAATCTCAAAAGGATAAATCATTTGTGAAAATAATTAGGAACATTCGTAATCTGTTTCTGTCATGCACCCCCTTCCCATTCTGTCTCTTGCTCTCCCACTTTTTTCATTGTTACTTTCCCTTTCCCACTTTGACTCTCCTTTCTCACTTGCTTTCCTCCTTTTCCATTTTTCCCACTCTCACCATCTCTCCTTTCCTAATGTCAGTCTCTCTTTTTATCCATTTCCCCCACTCTCATTCCAGGACAGAAGATAGAGCCCTTGTTTTTCCAACTGAGAGATACAGGAACAGCAGGTATTATGCCCATAATCCAGTATTTTGGAATCTAAACAGACAAATGGAAAAGAAAAACTTTGTACCTCAGGTAGAGTCTCTGTCTGGAAACCATGTTTATTTCACATATGAAGATTCAAATAGGTTTCATGTTAATTTTCAATGCCGGCTGCCCACCACCCACCCCCCGCAACCCTGGCTTACTGCAATTCCAGCCCCGTCCCTTCAGTTAGGGTTCCCTCACCGTTTCATGGAATTGCAGTCTGTAACAAATCCAGTATGTGTGGGAATAACCTGACAACGTTAAACGCATAAAAGGTTGAACTAAACAGAACAGTGCAAGATTTCTGAATAGAATCGTTCACACGTTACTGGCTGATCAGTTACATGACTGGATTTCATTTTAGTCACTTTCAGTGAAACTTGCACTGAAACTGACAGGATGGTCTGGTTTATTTGCTGCTATGTTTACCTCGTGCTACAGATACAATGCACCCTGTTAGTCTTGCACTTTTATGACTAAGATTTCCAGTTTAAACATAGTAGTAAAATCATCTGGTAGTTCGAGGGAGGCCTTTACTGAAAGATGATATACTGTGCTTTGCAGGCTCATGGCACTTTTTAATATATTACAGTCTAATAATAGCCCTGAACTAAATGACACAAGAACCAGCATTTGGCAAACATCAAGTGTAACTGGAAATTAAAATTTCCATGAAAAATCTGTGAAATAATTTTTAATCAAAAACAGAGTTATGTTAATTAGCCATCTTTTTAGACAGTAGCTGGAATGGCGTTTGTTTAAGACAGGGAATAAAGATATAAGTATATGTATAAATATAGACTGCCAGATGCTGTACAAATATACCGTTTCAGTCGGGGAAGCTTGAGAAAATTATCTGCATAATCCATTGAATTGGAATTGAGTAATGCAGACTGTAATGATAGCCTGGAATTTCAAGTTGATTCCCGGCCGTGTGTTTGTCGAGTGAGTGGTGTGGGGGGTGTTTCTGGTTTTGCTGACCTCTGACTGTTACTTGCCAACATAAAACGGAGTGCCATTCACATTAGAGATCACATTCTTCTTCTGGAAGTAAGAGGCTTGATGACTGAGTCACCTTTACTCATTTGACAATTATTTCTTGACCCTAACACTTCCTGGCAGTCAAATTTCCAGTGACGTTGCTGATCATTTGAGTGCCATGCTATTATTATCATCATCGACAACAACAATAACAGCAACTCACATTTCCATAAAGCTGCTTGTTTGCAGCAAGATATAGATGTTATAATAAGGAGGAGAGTGGTTTGGTGGACGTGGAAAGTTGAGAGGAATAGGGAAACAAGAATGGAGACTAGTTGAAGAGGAGTGGTTTGGGGACGTTCTTGAAATCACAGCAGGGGGCAAGGTGTTCAGAACTGGGCAGATTTCTGACGAAGAAAGACTGTGGCAGCTCATTTTAGTGGATAGTTATAATGGCCAACATATCCAAAATTGACTCAGAATTCTACTTGCTTCACTTCTGAACCCACAGTAATTGCATCTGGTGATTTCCTCATTTCGTAAGCAGAGTATGCTTGCAACATTTGTGCTCTCTTTTGACAGTTGATGTGTTGATGGGAATCATGTTTGGCAAGCCTACCTGCATTCGCTGGTAGGAATTTGTCTTGTTGTTCAATGATCTCTGTCTATTGGATCACCCTCAGGTTATCAGTCACCAGAAGAATCTTGGGATCAGCCCAACTGACATCACAGTTTAAAGTTATTCAGCTATTGAGATGCATGAATTAGATTTTGTGTCTACATCATTCAGACCTTTTCCATACACTAACTCCTTATTTAAAGTTGAGGGTGCATTCCTGATAATTGCGGCTACACGTGAAATAACTTTGTGAAGCGTGATTTTCCCCATGGATCAGCGTTACAACCAAAGTTAGATTCTTGCGGAGATTTCTTGCCTGGAAAAACCAATGTACGAATGGATGTGCATTCTTACCTGAAGTAACTTGCAAAATATCAGAGAAACATTGTAAAAATTCAAATTAGACAACACTTCCCCATCCCTTTGGCTCAAAGATGACTTGCTTTCTGTCTGGCTGATGAATACAGTTTACACACTGCAAACTCTGCGGTGTGGGGCAGGTGTTGCTTGAAAGGTCAGTGTCTGTTTGTGTTCGTATCTTCCCAGTGTTAGCGGTGTTACTGGTTCCCCTTTTCACTCTGGCACCATGCACTCTCTTTAGGTCATTCTCCATGAAGATTTCACTTCACCTCTTCCCTGAATTAGAATGTTCTTACCAGTTGTTTCCTTGACAGAATGTCAGTGGATTCAGTTTCAATGCAGTCTTCATCTTCAGCTTGAACTGCATGCTTGATAATTCCACTCCATAGGATGCAAGAAATTCCACCATGTCAACTTGATCAAATTTCACAAAGCCAGCTTCCTTTGCCCAGGTCATAATTTCAGATTAAACCTCAGGAACGAAGTAATGATATTCTTCTTGGAACTGACACACTGAGGCCACAATCTCTGCCATGCATCATCCATACATGTCGATGTGACTTCATCTTAAACCTCGCCAGTACTGTTGATGCCCTTGTAACCATACCAAAATTCCTTGATTGATTGATGCTTTCTAACCATTTGTTGCCTTGATGTGTTGAGACAGAGTACAATGGAGGACTTGAGTGCAGGTCTGGTATTGCTCCCCAATCCATTGGTTGTATCAGTGAAGTCATGTGGGCTGCAGGAAAAGCAGCTTCTTCGTTTTCAGAGAGTTCATTAAGATTGATGGAATGGTCTACGTAATTATCCAACAGCGACAAGATGTTAATGGCAAGAATCTGGCACAGTATGCACTCAAATGGGATTGGCACACAGCGAGACACTCCTGAAGGAGTGGCCCCATCACCTAGGTTTTCTTTTAAGCACCAAATGAGGTGCAGATGCTCTTGGGAGTAGGCCCTCAATGGTCCATGGTTATTCAGTCCGGTACACTACTAAAGGCTTAAGCTTTAAATCTCCTGCAATGTCCATAAAACCGTAAGATGTAGGAGCAAAAAATAGGCCATTTGGCCCATTGTGTCTGCCTACCCGTCAATGAAATCATGACTAAGCTGAAAATCCTCAACTTCATTTTCCTGCCCTTTCACCATAACTCGTGAATCCCTTACTGGTTAAAAATCTGTTTGTCTCAACTTTGAGTATACTTAATAATCCAGCCTCCGCTGCCCTCTGTGGTAAAGAATTTCACAGATTGACTACCCTCTGAGAGAAGAAATTCCTCTTCATCTCTGAGATGATGCCCTCTGGTCCTAGACTCTCCCACAAGGGGAAACAACCTCTCAGCTGCCTGAGGTGGACAGGCATCCACTCTGTCAGGCCCTCTGTGTTTATTATCTGTTTCGGTAAGGTGTCCTCTCAATTCCTATGAGTACAAGCCAAACCTACTCAATCTCTCCTCAAAAGAAAATCCCTCCATTCCAGGCATCAACCTAGTGAACCTTCCCAAGAAGGAGACCAGCCAGGCAACCTTTGGCAGCTTTTACTTCCTGACTTTGTCTTCTCTGGCAAACGGTATTGTTTTTTGAGGCATACCTTTACAAAATAAGCCCCCTCTCAATGATACTGTAAACTTATTTGTCTGAGCAGCTACCATCTTCAATGACTCTCTTCAAGTTGGGAGGGAATTCATTAAAAGGTTCTGTATCAGCGCTGGCTGCCTCGTCCGACATTTTAACATTGTGTAAACAGGAACACGTCTTAAAATCGTTGAATGACGGGTCCAGTATCGAAACTCTGTTGGAGAAGTCTTACCTTGCTGATTCTGTGAGACCTCAAACAGACTTTTGACTTTTTCTTGGATTATCATCAAACGTGGGGGCACCTGGCACTGGTTTTGATCTTTGATCCAGAAAGTCAGATGCTTTCCATGTACTCCACGATACTCCTTTTAGACTGACTCTCCCTGCTAGCACTTAAGTGTAATAAATAAAGATTACAGAAAGTTACGGAGCAGATGCTTTTGAGCATGAATCTTAAAAAAAAACCTTGCATCCAAGTTTAGTAGGTGTTAGGAAAACAAATGGAAAATTGGCTGTTATTTCAAAGGCAGTGGTGTGTAAAAATAGGAAAGTTTTGCTAAAACTATACAAGGAACTAGTCAGACCACAGCTGGAATACCTTGAACAGTTTTGGGCTCCTTACCTAAGGAAAGATATACTGGCATTGGAGGCAATCCAGATAAGGTTTGATAGGTTGATACTGGTTATGGAGGGACCGTCTTATGAAGAGAGACTGAGAAGGTTGGGCTTGTAGTCATTGGAGTTTAGAAGAATGAGAGGTGACCTTACTGAATATATAAAATTCTTAGAGAACTTGACAGGGTAGTTGCAGAAAGGTTAGATCCTCTGGTGGGAGAGCCTAAGACCAGAGGGTAGAATTTCAGAATAAGGGGTCTCACATTTAGGACAGAGGTGAGGAGCAGTTTCTTCTCGGAGGGGAGTGAATCTTTACTACAGAAGTCTGTTAAGGCTGGGTCATTAAGCATATTTCAAGCTGAGATAGATTGATTTATAACCAGGAAGGGAATCATAGATTATGGAGAAATTGGTTTTGAGGGTTATCAGATCCGTGATCTCATTGTATGGCAGTGCAAACATGATGGGCTAAATGGCCTGCTTCTGCTCCTATGTCTTATGGTCTTAGGGTCTTATGGTCAAAGGATTTGTGCATTTTCTTTAATTTTGTCAGTGTTACCACAGATTGTTCTCACTGTGATAAGGCGGTAGCCGAAGATCTCTAGTAATAAGCGACTGCTCACTTACTTGCTTCAAGGTGCTTTAAACCATCAACTATCACTGCTAGGCTGGTGTTTTTCCTTGATCTCTATACAACAGCAGTTCATATTCAAAGGGATTACAGCACTAAGTCACCATGTGAATAAGGGATTTTAAAATTTTTCATCTACCTTGCTTGCTGCCTCATTGGCTTTAAAATGGCTCCTGCAGATGGTGGTAATTTTCACCCAAACAATCCCTGAGACAATGAAAGCACTTTCACTTCATCTGTGTGCAGAGAGGAAGCAACCCCTATTCAAAGATCAGCTTCGATGAAGAAAGGCATAAGTCAAAGAGACTACTGGGCATGGACACAATGGCACCGATGCTATCATGGGGCGTGATGTTGCCAACAAATTCTCAGGGCCTGACCGTGCCATTGTATATGATGATGGCGTTTGTGCGACAGCTGATTTTAAACTGGTTTTAAAACCTGGGATGCATCTTTAATTAAGGACACTGGGCACTAAACTAATGGTAAATTGTTTTAAACTGAATTCCAGAAGTGAGATGAGAGGGACTGCCCTTAACATCAAGGCCACATTTGGCTGGTGGCATCAAGGAGCCACAGCAAAACTTGAATAAATGGGAATTTGGGGAAAGCTCTCTGCTGTTGGAATTATACCTGGCACATAGGAAGCAGGTTGTGGTTGTTGGTGGTGAGTCATCTCAGCTTGAGGACATTTCTGCAGGAATTCCTCAGGGTAGTGTCCTCAGCCCAACCATCATCGGCTGCTTCATCAATGACCTTAAGAACAGAAGTGGGCTGTTTGCTGATGATTGCACAATGTTTAGCACCATTTGTGAATCCTCAGATACTGAAACAGTCCATGTTCAAATGCAACAAGATCTGGACAATATCCAGGCTTGGGCTGACAAGTGGCATGTGACCTTCACGCCACACAAATACCAGCTAATGACCATCTCCAATAAGAGGCAATCTAACCACCACGCCTTGACATTCCATGGCATTAACTTCACTAAGTTCCCCTACTATCAACGTACTGAGGTTTATCATTGAATAGAAACTGAACTGGATTTGTGATATGAATAAAACGTGTACAAGAACAGGTCAGAGGCTAGGAATACTGTAGCAAGTGGCACACCTCCTGACTCCTCAAAGCCTATCCAACATCTACAAGATACAAGTCAGAAGTGTGATGGAATAATCCATTTGCCTGGATGAAGCTTGACACCATCCAGGACAAAGCAGCCTGTTTGATTGGTACCTCATCCACAAACATCCACTAGCAAGACTCAGTCGCAGCAGTGTGTACAACTCTGAGATGCACTGCAGAAATTCCTCAAAGATCCTTAGCACAAGGGCAACAGGCACATGGGAACACTACGACATGCAAGTTCCCCTCCAAGCCACTCCCATCCTGACTTGGAAATGTATCACTACTCCTTCACTGTTGCTGGGTTAAAATCTGGAGTTCCCTCCCTGACAGTATTGTGGGTCCATCTACAGCGTATGGACTGCAGCGGTTCAAGAATGCAGCTCACCACCACCTTATCAAGGGTAACTAGGAACGGGCAATAAATGCTGGTGAGCCCACGATGCCCATGATGCCCATGTCCCACAAATGAAGAAAACAAAATCGAAATGATGTTCAGCAGGGTGACTTTAAATTAGGACTTACTGTGATTGACAGTAGTACAATACATTTAAAAAGAATGAGCCATTGGAGTTCAACAACATTTCCATAGCACTTTCAACATTGTAAAATGTCCCAAAGTATTTCACAAGAGCATCTGATCAGATAATAATCAGACAAAAATCAAGCCAAAGAAGGAGACATTAGAAGAGGTAGATCGAAGGCTTGGTTACAAAGCTTTTTGGCTGTCTTTGTTGTCATTGTGCTTTGACACAAAGATGCAATCTTATTTGTTTCGTTTCAACCTCCTAAGACTAAGGTCATTGCCAACCAGCAGAGCTGTAGGATGACTGTAATGCTTCTTAGGAGCTGAACTGCAGATTCAAATGTCGCATTTTAGCCCCAAATCTGGGAAACGCATTGCAGTAGCTGACTGTTGGGGTAGAGCAGCTGACACTTTGTAAGATTTTATGTCATTTGTGGTTACATATTGTCCAGAGTTAATGTATGGTCCAGTATTTAGCTTTATACCTTCTAAAATTAAGGGGGATATCATCCATTCCTGAAGAGTCTTTATCAACTTCTGCTGATGATACTAGCATGTACACTTCAGGTGGTGACCATTGGGTTTTTCTGTGATACATTTTACAGTTGAATAGCTTATGGGAAGAAAAATTTAAGTATCAACCAGTAACTTGACTGTCAAAATAAACCCCAGTAAGGAATCAACACTATCAGACGTGTAGCAGAAGAGAGAAAATTATTGTTACCTAGTGGTCACTTTTCCTGCTGCATGCCAATAATTGTAGTCCTAATTATGTTAAATTGCCATGTCTATGAAGTTTATAAATGCAATGTAAAAATTAATAACTATCTACCAAACTCTTTTGAGATACTCTGTGTAGCAATACAAACTTTAAAGGTGCAGTTATGATATGCCAATTTTATGAATTTTCTGTTTCTTCCCACAGATGCTGCCAAACTTATGGAGTTTTACCAGCTTTTGCTGTTGTTGCTATGAATGTGCTATTTGTTCCACAGGATGAGCATTCCAAATATACATTTATGTTATGATTAATTTGTTTTTTATCTTTTTTTTTGTAACCAGTGATGTAAAATTCATTGTTGGAGAGGAGAGGAAAGTGGTGTATGCTCACCGCTGCATCTTAGCATATCGCTGCGAGGCATTTAGCACCATGTTTGCCGAGCAACTTCTGTCACGTGATGCCAAAGAAGCCGAAGTTCCATTTGTTCTTACAGATGTGCGGCCAGACGTCTTCTTAGCTGTGGTTGAGTTTCTCTACACAAACTGTGTGATGCTGAGCAGCGATATAGTGAGTACATTTGTTTCTGGGCTGTGTGGACAGTTCTTAACACGAGAAGCTGATTGGTTAAGTGAGCCAGCCATCTGCACCTTGTATAGCGTGGCCCAGGCCTTATTTCATGACAGCTCATGTACCACAAATATCAGATGGACATTCAATGCAGTTTATTTGTCTTAGACCAGGCAGTAAGCTAAGTTTTGACCAGGGTGGTGGCAGAGTGAAGGACAAAATGGGGTTGTGATCACTGTTTAGGGGGTGGGTGGAAGTGGTGGTAGTGTTGACCAGAGGGAGTTCACTAAATTATCTTTATAGAACTCTCCCCTGCCTCCAAGAAAATAATTTAAAGGCTACCCTTTCAGACCTGTTAACTACATCGCCACTAAGCTAGGCGGAAATGTGCTTCAGGTACGTTATTGTTTGTTTTTAAGTGGTAGTCACTTTGCTTGTTGTTGGATGCTGCTTTTCATGTTAAAAGGAGCTTATTGCCTCATAAAATCAAAACAGGCCAGATTAGCAGCAGGCCCCTGTTAGCATGGCAATGCGAATGTTGGTTTTAACAGGATGATAAATCTATTGACTCCAATGTGAGGTCATTATCATCTTGTTAATGCCAATGGTAGCAACTTCAAATCAACCTATCTTTGGTACTGATCAGTTTTGTGTTGTGGACGAGGACACTAGCTGAGAACATGTCTATTTTTGACAGTTGTTGTCAACAATAGAACCTTTAGACCCATCTCATGTATTCATCATTAATATAGAGTGCTTTGGTGAACTAGAATTTCCCTAGTTGTCCAGAATCCTGATTTTTATCCCTGGTAAAATCCAACCTCCCTACAAAGGCACCTTTTTTTTTGTACTCCTAGCTTAAGCTAAAAATACTCCACAAGTGCATGCATATGATTTTCAGTATTCATCAATTAACTTGCAAATGGAGAGTGAAGATCATGTGTATTTTCTGGGAAATTGCATTTGGAAGTCAGGAGAAGAGATTACTCAAACGCCATTTTAAAAAAGTTAGACCACATTACTTCTATATTTCCTTTCTAAATTCCTGTTAACATTTGTAATAAAATTTTCCTACGTAAATTTTTCATGCTGTAAGTATATCAACCTTTGGCAAGCAGTAAGTAAAGATGTAAGACGTTCTTCATGTGTTTTGTGCACAGTTCAAAAGCAACTGAAATTTGGAAAGTGTTAAAGCAAAGTTAGTTGGAATTGAAGGGGTTTTCCTGCAGTTCAAGTTGAAGAGTTGAGAAACAAAAATGAGACACTATAGCGTCAGCACTGCTGGAGAGTGCAATTATAGTATGACCAGTTTATGTGGACAAGTCAACAGTTTCAATTGTTGTGGATATGGGAAGTTGTAGTGGAAAGAGTACAGAGGAAATACACACAAATGTAAAATTTTCCTTGTATTTTACACATATGTTTATGTAGGATGTTGTAGACAGAGCTGGTGAATGGAGCAAAGCTTTTGTGTTTTTGGAAGTTGTGAGGTCTGTGGATTAAATTGATGCTCATAGCTCCTTTCCAAATTTCATTTAATGCTGTGATTTAATTCCAAGTGTTTTGGTTATAACTGAAAATTAAAATATTGTCTCAAAGAGAGGAATAACCAATAACAATAATATTTCCAATTCAGATGCTTAATTTTCACTCTTTGTAACCCCTGCTCCAGGGCTTTTTGTTTTAAATCAATTTCTGAGTCTTTATATGATACCAGGTTATAGTCCAATGGGTTTATTTGAAATCACAACCTTTTGGAGCGTAGCCCCTTCGCCAGGTGAAGTGAGAGGGAAGCACACAGACACAGATTCCATATTGATCAGTTGAAAATTAAAATATTCTTATTGTTTGATAAACAGATGATGCTCAACACTAAACATGTTGCAACTCGATTTATCGCTGATCTGCCACCGGATGTCTGTAGGATTCACACTGTACTGAAGAGAGTCTAAAGTTAGTTTTCCTGAATCGAGAAACGTCTTCCAAATCAGAAATTCTAGCTTCAAAACTTTTATTTTGTACTACTGAAGAAACACTTTGTTAGTGTAAAATTACTTCTTGATAGATATTTCTCTGTTGAATTTGAGATCAGGCTATCTTCTTGCTCAAAGCATTGAACAGACTGAGAAGGTCAGAGCTCTCTAGGCAATTACACCAGAGGAGGGAACACCTAATGTGATATCACTCCAAACAGATTGATTTTCTTCCCTCTGGGACACAGTTTACAGAGCCTGTTGCAATACCCTCATTCTTGAATGTGATTTGTAACCATGATTTAATTTATTTTGTTCATGTTTTTCCCTCCTTGTGAAGATGAGGATTCAGGCTGGGGTAAGATTTCTTGAGCACTGGCATCGTCTAGAAACTTTGCTTATGTGGCCATTCTTCACTTGTATATTTAGGCATTGAGGCTATTTTTCTGTAGTGGCATTATAATCAAGACTCACACCTTCAACACCTAATATCTGTTCCAGTGTACTTTAAAGCAAGGAGAGATATGTAGTCAAGGAATAGCACTTAAGGGTGGCATGTTATTCTCTTTCCTACACTAACTGTCCGATTACACAGAACAGATATTGAACCTTCTCATTTCTGTGTTTCAATTACATGCTAACTTTACCAACTGAGTTATTTGGGTTAGAAAGATACGAGAAAGCTATGTTCTTATATTTGCTCAGATTTGGAAAGGTAACTATAACAAGAAAACATGAGTGATGCACACCAAAATGGCTAATCCATTTTCTAAATTTGATATCAAAAGGTCTACACAGAGATGGAAGATGGTGTGTAATAGATGAATATTTTACTACTGCCAGGGATAAATATCTGTTCAAGATCACAACCAAATTTGCAGGAGGATATTAAACCATTGCAGTGATCATAAATGAAATGATGGGGAACCACATCTGACCAATCCATTGGAAGTTACACAAGTTCCACAACTTGCATTGTTGTATGAAGTCTTGATACATTTGAAAAAAACTTTTCTTCCATTTCGTTTGAATATTTTCCACCGCACTGGGTTCTCCGCCCTGTTGCTATACACCAGTCCTAGGCTGATAGGTCTGAAAGCAAAAGCTTCCAGACCTCTTTTTAAGCTTTTTCATAAGCACTTATGAGGTGGCATTCTGGTATAATTATTTGCCTTTTGATATTCAGAGAAACTTACATTTTCCCTTTAGTCTTTGCAATAATATAGTTTCAAAAAAAAAATCCATTGAATAAGGTCCATTCCAAAATTATTACAGACAATTGGGGCAAATATGTTATCAGTATGTATTTTCAGAAAGTATTCTTTTCAGTATCAGTTGAGTATCAAGTACCCTTTAGCAGAGGGACTAAATTTTTCTTTTTAGATGTTCATGTATAGTCTGCCAAAGCTGATGCCATTCCTGCCAAAGATGTGGAGTGAATATTGTTCGAAGGAATTTGTCTTGTTGCTTCATTATGTGCAGTGGAACCCAAAACCTCACATGGAAACTGGCAGAAACATGTTGAAAATGAGTAGCACTGATATATGTGCATATCATACTTGCTTTAAAATTAAAACATCCCTTAAATTAAGTAGCTCAATAGTAATCCATGATCATGATGATATCCATGAATTTGTTCACTTCAACTTTCTGATACCTATCTCTTTTTTTCAGGCTCTGGATGTACTTACATCAGCAGTGGAATATGGCCTGGACGAGCTTCAAAGGGTAAGATTTTTGATTAACTATGTCTGGTTGACAAGATCAGAAGGATCAAATTGCTTTTGTGGTGGGTATGTAGAAGTATGAAATATGTAGTTGACTTAACACTGGGATGGGCAGTGATTCATATATTTTTTCATGATGCAACTTCCTAATTTCATAATTCTGCCTATTGTGATTCATATGTGCTTACAAAACTTGCAGAGACCTGTAGCAAGAAAAGCACTCAAATTTACATTGTATTTATACTCTGATTATTTTGGATCCTCCTGATTTATAATTATATATATATATTTACAAAGTAATTTCATCGTTCTTTTCATACTTCTGGGCAGATCATTTTAAATATAAATTTTCCTTCCCTCAGTGAATTGTCCTTTGTCCTCTACTGTTTGCTGCTCTCTGATTCAGTTCATCGGTGTACAGCAGGAGCACTAGCAAGTGACAGAGTTTATTTTGCTTTAAACCTTTCAAGTAGATGAATTTAAGAGTTGAGGAAAAAAATGCTATTATTATTTGAGAGTAAATTGTATTGATTCCAGACCTATGAGTAGCATACACAAAGAGAAGGAAATGTCTTTAATTGACGATAATAACTGTAAATTTGGATGTAGATTTGAATAGAAATCCTGAGGTTGTTGAATTGCTCGCCGAGCTGGCTTGTTTTCATTCAGATGTTTCATCACCATGCTTGGTAACATCATTGATGAGGTCTCCGATGTAGCGATGTTGTTCTACTTTGCTTGGAATTTATACTGTCCAGTTACTTTGGTGAGTTGTGTCATTTCCGGTTTTGTTCTATATGGGTTTGTATATGGGGTCCAATTCTAAATGTTTGTTGATTGCATTATGGGTTGAGAACCATGCCTCTAGGAATTCTCATGCATGTCTATGTTTGGCTTGGGCTACTGTGGTTATACCATACCAGTTAAACTGATGGCCTTCATTGTCTGAGTGTACTGATATTAAGGAGAGCTCATTGTGCCGTTTCGCTGCTAGCTGATGTTCATGTATTCTGATGGCTAGTTTCCTTCCTGTCTGTCTGATGTAATATTTGTGGCAGTTGTTGCATGGTATTTTGTAAACTATGCTGGTTCTGCATGTTGTGGGAATGGGGTCTTTAAACATTGTGAGTGTTTGTCGGTTCTATGGACTTCCTAAAGTACACAAACCAGACATCCCCCTCAGACCTATTATCTTCCTACTGGGCACACCTTCACAAAAACTGGCCAAGGACCTACAACAGAGACTGAAATACCTAGTCAATGGATCACCCCATTCCATCCACTCAACCTAAGAATTCCACAATACCCTCAAGAACATAAAAATCAGCGACTATGAGATTATGGTATCCTTTGACATCACAGCTTTATTCACATCAATTGACATCCCACTAGCCAAAGAAACACCGGCCACTTTACTAGAGGAAGCAGGAACGTAGACCAGTAGCTCCATCAGCAATGACCACGTACTCCAACTACTAGACTTGTGCCTCACCACACACTCCATCTTTAATGGTCAAGTATACAGACAGATCAATGGCACACCCATGGGGTCACCTATCTAAGGTCGCAGAGGCAGTTATTCAAAGACTAGAACACACTACCCTCCCCCACATTCAACCTAAACTGTGGATCCAGTATGTGGACAACACGTATGTCATCATTAAATGCACCAAACTAGGAGACCCACGTCAACAACGTATTGGCTGGGATTAAATTCACGAGCGAAGAAGAAAACAACAATCAGCTTCCGTTTCTGGACAATGGAGTTGAATGTATGACCCATGGGGAGTTCCAAACCTCCGTATATAGGAAAGCAACCCACACTGACCAAATCCTCAACTCCTACAGCAACCACCCCCGCATCCACAAAGAAAACTGTATTAGGACACTATTTAAATGGGCCACCACTCACTGCAACATGCCAGAACTACATAGGAAGAGGAACAGCATCTATACAAAATCTTTGTCCATGAACGGTTATCCCCGCAATTTCACCTGCAGGTGCCTACTAAACAGACAACAACACAAGGACACAGTACGCCCTAATACACTGGCCACACTGCCCTACATCAAGAAAATATCAGAACTGACACGAGACTCCGACGACCACTAGGAATCATGGTAGCCCACAAGCCCATAGCCACTTTATGACAAACACTCACAAGGATTAAAGACCCCATTCCCACAACATGCAGAACCAACGAAGTCTACAAAATACCATGCAACGCCTGCAACAAGCATTACATCGGACAGACAGGAAGGAAACTAGCCATCAGAATACACAAACATCAGCTAGCAGCAAAACGACATAATGAACTCTCCTTAATAACAGTACACTCGGACAATGACGGCCATCAGTTTAACTTGGACAATGTAACCATAGTAGCCCAAGCCAAACATAGACATGTATGGGAATTCCTAGAGGGATGATTCTCAACCCATAATGCAATCAACAAATGAATAGAATTGGACCCCATATACAAACACATACAGAACAAAACCGGAAATGACAGTATTCCCCATAACAGACCGGACAGTATAAATTCCAAACGGAGTAGAATGACATCACTTCATCAGAGGCTCCACTGATGATGTCACATAGCATGGTGACAAAACATCTGAACGAAAACGAGCCAGTTCGGCGAGCAAGTCAGCAAGCTCACCCACAACCCGAGCTACAGATCTTTGCTAAAACCTTAAGGAATGGAAATCCTGCTGAAGTGACAGTCACCCTGCTTATGTGTCATAGGCTACATCAGTGTTAATATAGCTACTGTGATTTTTCCTCAATTACCTATTCTAATAACAAGCCAAGAACTCAACTTCCTAAAATTAGGAAGGCTGAAGTTTCGGGCCTAGACCCTTCATCAGAAAACATGATGAATGGTCTAGGCCCAAAACGTCAGCCTTCCGGCACCTATGATGCTGCTTGGCCTGCTGTGTTCATCCAGCTCTACACCTTGTTATCTTAGATTTTCCAGCATCTGCAGTTCCTACCATCTCTCCCTAAAATTAACTGTTTTGTATAAAATCTTCCTAAATTTTTTTGAAGTGTTTTGAAGTGAACGTTCAAAATAGGAGCAGAAGTAGACCATTTGGCCCTTTGAACCTACTGTGCCATTCAACAAAATCATGGCTGACCTATTTGTGTTTCTAATTACACATTCCCATTTTGTTCTAATGACTTTTGAATCCCCTGCCTAACAAGAATCTAACTTCCTCTGACTTATAAACAGCCAATGGACCGGCTCCTACAATTTCTGAAGCAGCAAGTTCCATAGTCGCATTACCATCTGAGATCAAGATTTCTCCTCATTTCTGTCTTAAAAGTACAACCCTTAGTTTTTATTAATGTTCACTGATCCACAAGAAGAAAGCACCCTTTTCACGCCTGCCTTGTCAAGAACATTCAGCATCTTATACACTTCAATTAAGTCTAAAGCCCTGAAATAATGCAGACTGCAGGCACTTTAATCATTTCATTGGCATGTACATAGAAGTTACAGCAGGAATTAGTCATATGGCCTGCCAATCTCTGTTGCTGTTTATGTTCTTCACAGTCACAGTAGAATGATGATCCATTCAGCACAGCCGTATCTTCTCAGAGCTATCTTTCCAACAATTCTGAAGGGCTGATGCCTAGGGCAGCTCATATACTTTGGGAAATGCTGTAGTATAATTTTTCTTTTATTCCTTCATAGGATGTGAGCGTTGCTGATCAGGCCAGCATTTACTGGGCATCCCTCTACTTGAAACTGGTGCTGCTTTTCCTGAAAGGTACTGGGAAACACCCACAGGGTGGTTTTCCTGAACACCAAGGCATTGGTGTCACAGATAAATATTTATCAGTCGCTGCCATTTATTTTGACGTGGATAGCTAGCAGTGCAATTTTGTCGTTGGTGGCCTATCTCATCATGCACAGTCTTTGTGGGAGAGCAGGGACTTGAGATTTAAAGTCACATTTTGGACATTACACTGTCAGTGGAGAATCTACCCAATTTATCCTTAATGCAATTGTGTAGATTTGAAGGTGGATGATTTTTATCACAACTTTCATGGTAGACATTATAACGTAATTTAAAAGGGGTCTAGATAAATATTTGAAAAAGAGAAGCTTAAAAGGTGTGGAGAAAGGGCAAAAAATTTTCCAAATAATGTTGCATGTTAAACCAGTTAAACTTTATTCCTAATTAGTGTGAATCATATGGAACAAAACTCACTAC